GTAAAAAGAGGACGCAGATATTGTTACCATTTGAAGCAAATACCCATCAGCAGGCGCAGGTTCAGGAAACAGCAGCTAATAAATACCATGTGTGTCGGCTCGGTTGCATCAGTTACAGTGATGACGTCAATTTTTGGGTTAATGGGACTCTTGCTGATTCAGATTTTTAGTTCACTGTTACACTTCAATGGATGAGCGCAACACTACAACCATATTGAATTTAATCCCCCCACGCCTCACACAACCTAAGTTTACATTCTTTCCTTCACGTTGCATGGTGCCTCGTGTTAATCCTTACATTTGTCATAATTACGTTGTTTATGTAAGGTTTTCTCTAAAGCTGCCTTAGTCGTGACACGCTGCTTAGTTTCTGTATTTATGTACCAAGGCTCTGTAGCTAGCGTGCAACCTCATAAGGTGCAACTATAAATCAAGCTGAATTTATACAGGCTCACTGTCACTTCAGTAAGTACACCTGTTTAACTGCTCGTCAACGGAAATATCTAATGAGCCAATCACAGGGCAGCTTCTCAACACATTTAGGCGTGTTAGACATGCTCAAGTCGACCTGCTGAAGTTCAAAATCGGCATCAGAAAGGGGACAAAAGGTGATTTAAGACAACTGGATTGTGGCATGGTTGGTATGAGTATTTTACAAACTGCTGATATGATGGGATTTTTACACACAGCCGTCTTTAGAGTTTACAGAGAATGGTCTGAAAGAGAGAAAATATTCAGCGAACAGCAGTTTTCTGGGAGAAAATGCCCTGTTGATGTCAGAGAGGTCTGTCTCACGGTGATAGGAAGGCAACAGTAAGTCACTTATTACAACTGAGGTATGCAGAAGAGCATCTTTGAGCGCACAACATGTCGAACCTTGAGGCAGATGGACTGCAAAAGATCACACCAGGTGCCACTCCTGCCATAATATAATGAAACCCAGGCTACAGTTCACCTGGATAAGATTGGAAAAATGTTGCCTCGTCTGATGAGTCGCGATTTCTGCTGCAAAATGCCAATGGTGGGGTTAGAGCAGTGGAGTTGGAGTAAACAACATAAAGCTTGGATCCATCCTGGCTTATATCAATGGTTCACACTGCTGGTTGTGGTGGAATGTAGTGGGGGATTTTTTTCTTAGTACCAAATAAGTATCGTTTAAGCCTTGGCGATCATGTCCATCTCTTTATGACCACAGTGTGCCGATCTTCTGATTTCTGCGTCCAGCACGATAACGCACCATGTCACAAAGCTCAAATCATCTGGTTTCTTGAACATGACATTGAGTTCATGTTAGCCAAATGGCCTTCAAAGTCTGGAAATCTCAATCCAATAGAGTCAGCTGCAGCAAGTGAGAGATGCTGTCATGTCATGTTTCCTGAACCTCCAGTCATGAAGAATTAAGGCACTTCTGAAGGTAAGATGTCCTTAATAAAGCGGCAGATGAGTTTATATTTGGGCATTAAGAGTAAAGAGATGTGGAAAGGAAATATAATGCCTGTAGAAAATGGTGCAACAAGGACACGATTATGAGGTCTTTGCCCCCTTCAAAATGGTCCCATACTGAACATATGGAAGTAGGTAATGGTTTATGGGGACTGTACATAAATGTATGAGTAGCTAACATTGAAGCAATGCAAGAACACAACCAATGTTTAGGAAACAAATTATTCAGCAACTGTTATTATTATTACTTATTAACAACTATCAAGATTTTTTAAACCAGTGTTGCACTGTCAGCATCTGTAAGACTGGATGATTCTGTGTTAGTTCATCAAATGTCTCCCATCTGACTGTCTCAGATTTACACGAGAATGAATTTGTGTACCGCAGCCAAAGATGGAAAGTTAAAACCTTGCTCTGCTTTTGACACAATTTATGCGTGCTCACGGCCCAGAAAAACATTTTTTTTTGGCTAAGACGAGAGGATGTGTGCCGGGTGCTTTTACAACACTCACTGGCCATGAAACACGCCAACTTTTTTAAAGCTAATCTGTGATGGATCGATGAAAGTTTTCTTTTTAAATTTGATCAAAGACACCAGCTGATCTACCTGAAATTTAAAGACTCAGGAGCTCAGTACCACGTCCCAACCTAAAACTTGAATACTGAGCAGCAGCCATGTTCACATACAGTCCCTGCTATTAAAACTCGTCTCTGTAAGTGGTTGGAAATGATGTACAAAGTACTTTCATTTGGGTTGGATGCTCCCAGAGACATGAAAACCCTCGGCACTTTTTCTTTTTTTAAAACTATGCAATAATAATAATGCACTTTAACGTGCAAAACCCCAGACACTGTCAATGAGAGGAGAGGCAATGTAATTACAAACACCATGCAAACCACCCTTTCGCATACTTCCTTAGATGTACAGGCATGCGCTGAAGATGCTGTGTTGTAATAGCTATGTTTCCTCTGTGCACTTCATCCAGAAACAACACGCTCTACAAAGGCTTTGTGCTGAAAGACTAAATTCCTGCTGGTTTGACACTCCTCTCTCCTTTCTGTCTCTTTTTTTTCCCTATTCTTCTTCTCCTCGGTCTCTGCCTGGGCAGCAGAATCAGCACATCAAATAAATACAGAGCAAAGGGAATCGTGTTTCATTTGGAGACAGCGGGAAAAAGGTCACGGACAACGGCAACACGCGAACTGTGGGCGTCAGAAGAAAAGCCGTTCCAGTGCAAATACGCGCAGACGCCTCTCTTTGAAATCCAATCTGATTTAAGGGATTTAATAACACCTCCAAACTGTCCAAAAATCAATTCGAGCCCATGCATTCCTCACCTACCATACAGAGCACCCAACAGACAATGGCTCATTATGGAGCCACCAAATGTTATTATCATCAAAAAGCCTCTGAGCTGGAGACTTTGGAGACGGGGTGACCATTTTGCGGACTCCACCGTCGGCTTGGGTTTGAGCCCCTGGTAAAAACACAAAGTGGTGCGCAGAGGCAGAAACACTGGGGCCGAGGACTGTAGCCTTTGGCCTGAGATTCAAACAACCGACTTGTGGCGGTCTTTATCTGAAACAACCACAAACCCCCCCAACTACTCTTTACAGATCAAATGGGGTCTTAAGCAGAAAGGCAATGCTAAACAGTGATGGGGAGATGGGATTTCAAGGTCTGGGACTATAGTTACACAGCTAATCTTGGTTAACATGCATTTTGTGGTCATTGAAAAACAAAGGCAATGGCACAGCTCCCCCTAAATAAGGGATTAATTATGAGGTATTTGAAGAAGATGAAAAACATGCTCGGAATAAGGAAAAAATAATAGGAGGACAATAGAAAACTGAAGCAAAGTGTTTTATTAAAAGCAGTTGATATATTTAAAAAAACATCAAGTTAATAATGATATCAAAAACAACAATACAAAAAGCTAAAAACATGAGAATTTTTTTTTTTGAACAAGACAAAACTAAAATCTGACAATGAATAAATATTTCAGATGTTAAACCAATGGAGAAAAAAAACAGTCTTTCAAAGTAAAAGATGACGTGGCAGGTGTGTCAAATACTCGTAACAGCCAACAGCGCTCACACCTGATCGGCGACGCCGTCCTTCATATCCGGGCGGAAGATCAGCCTGACGTTATCGTGCTGTTACCTGTGCAGAGAGACACTTGTTGTCGTAATTTCAACACAAATGCAAACCGGCTCTGATTTACTCACTCCTTACTGACTCACAGTCACTTTTAGGAATGAGGGCAGAGTGCAGGGAAATAACAGTTTTCCTGTGATCTGCCGTGAGTGACAGTCCTGGGAGCATTGCGCACACAGACGTGAGCTGCGGCATTGTCTGACAGGGCGCTGTCATCGCTGCACATGTATATAGTTGCAAAAACATAAATGGCTCTTACAGTGTGATGGATGCAGGGAAAGCAATTAAAGCCCTTCAGATTGGAAGCTGTCTTAGTCAAAGACAAGGCTCGCGTCTGCACCTTTAAAGCAAGGCAGCAGACTGATTATGATGTGTACTACACACATGCATTTCTGTAGGTTCAAAACCAGGGATGTCAAACGTAAGGCCATGGGGCTAGAATCGGTCCGCCAAACACTCTAATCTGGCCCACTGGACAGCTTCAAAATATGTGACTCAATGCACGGATTTGGACCTTTTAACTGTATTTTCATACATTTTACACCATTTTCTGTTGATTTATGGTCATTCATATTACACCAAGGTAATTGTAAGTAAAGAGAAACAATGAAAGTGTTTCTCTTTGAAAGTGGTTTTCCACTAACTTGTAGAGTCTTTTTTTAACGGTCCACAGTAAACACAAAAACTTCATATATTATGATTACAGAATAGTCTGGGAATGAATTACCAGAACCTTTTCTGTCATTTTACTCATTTTTCATAAAGTTTTACTGCTCTGGCCTACTTCAGATCGACATGCTCACCTGCTGCTGCGACAGGCATCCAGGTCTTCCTGTAACAAAGAGGCTCTCATCTGAAGGAAGTTAACCTGAAACAGAGAACGGCACGGGGTAATCTTCAATTCTTTCCACCATTATGACGAGTTTCAAAAACGAAACAAAGACGTGGTTTGGTGACCATTAGAAGAGATGTTTTTACAAGGGTAACTGCAAAGGCAGAGACCACCTTCAATAACTTCTAATTGCAAATCCAATCATATTGCTCCATAATCAGGCCTGAAACATGACCGAAACCACTCAGGTTAGAAAAGGGCATCAAGAGCTACTCCTAGTTGGCTTTCAAGGGGTAAAGAGTTCAAATATATTCAGTATGAAGGAAGCAAGAACTGGTTCATCAGGACACAGGAATTGGAAGTGGAGAAGGGTTTGATTGATTTAGGTCAGTTGTGCTTTTTTAGAAGAAAAGCTCGGTTGTTGACTCCTGGGGTCACGACAGCAGGGGCCGGGGGTCAGGAGATTAGGGCAGCAGGGTTAAGGCACGCTGGGAAGATTACAGGCCCAGGTTAGCCGAGGTTAGGAGGCAGCACCGTTCTTTTGTTTGGCTACAAAGTGCCGGTTTATTTATGAAGTGTGCTTCGCTGAAGTGAAAATAAACTCCATCTACATTTACACGGCATCTAGAGCCTGGCAGAATAATCACAGCTCCAAAAGAATCCGCATTGTTCTGGGACTACCGTACTGGAGCCTAGGGTACATTCCTTTCTGTGGGGGAGACCTCAGTTCAAGTTCTAGCATTTCATTTGGCACTTCGCACTGGGAAAGTATATGCAAAACCATACCCAAATGTGGTTGGATGCCTCCAGAGACACGGAAACTCTCTGCACCTTTTTTTTTTCTTTCTCAAACTATGTAATAAAAATAATGCACTTTAATGTGCAAAACCCAAGACACTGTCAATGAGAGGAGAGGCCGCTCTGGTTATGAATCGCATTTTATAAACATTTCTGATCGCGGAGCTGCGGTCTGTCCAATGAAACGGGATCTTGGAAGCGCTATTTGGACAAGGCAGGGGTTAATGATGAGAGCGTTTTATAGAGACCTGCACTGCACGCTGTTATTATTATTATTCCAACGAAATTATTTACAATGTAAATGCTGAGACAAAGGACACGGCTCGGAGGAGAAACGTACGAGTGCGGTTATGCAAAGGCTGACTGTTTGATCTGAGGGGAAGACAATGAGAGATTAACATTTGCAGAGAGGATCAGCAGGGTCCGAAGTGAATGCCGAGGCCATGATCGAGTGCTACGCCGAAACTGCGAGAGAGGTCTCACTCAAACAGATAAGTCTACATCTAGTTTCATACAGAGGGCTTTACCTCAGTTTTGATTGATTTATAACAGAAGAAAGTGAAAACACACAAAATCCTGCAATAGCAACAAAAGAAAGTAAACACTGCAATAGTTTAGTAGTTAAAATAAAGAGAATGTTCTCCAGATCTCAGGCAATGGCTTATGTCCAACCTGATCTGTGATCACTTCTACCTGAGGATGGTATATTGTTTGTATTTGTCTTTGTTATGTGTGGTTTGTTGTGTATCTGCATACAATCACTTCCATACTGTATAGTTTCGTGGGACCTGCCTGGGGGTTAAGGATGTAAATCAGCAGATATGATCAAATCTGGCATGTTTGCAGCTTACATCCATTTTCTGTATATCTACACCCAGCAAACTAAATCCACCCAGCAGTACCATCTGGAAAGTGTCTGAGTGGCAGAAAAATTCATTTTTCAGGATGACAATAATCTCAAATACAATGCCAATCCAAAAACACACAATGAAACATCACTCTCAGTCATGGATTGCCATCCTCAGAGCCCAAACCTCGACATTATTGAAGCAGTGGGGGATCATCTTGACAAAGAATATGAAAGACAGCCAACATCCAAAGAAGAGCTTTGAATACCCTTGAATAAGCCTGGAGATCTATTCCTAAAAACTACTAACAGATACAGTCATGTTTTCAGTTTCTTTAATAGAAATAAAGAATATTGTACTCATACAATAACATACATAGATTAGTGTGTAATTACATTTTCCAACAAACTGTCTCATACTCTCATAAACTTAAAAATAATCCATAAAAATGCAAAGGAGCAGCTGTTGGCTCATGGGAGCCACCATGGCGCCCCGCCAGCTTGAATACAGTGGCCGACACGAACATCGCCGCTCTGCCTAATGGCGTTTCATGTATGTGGCTAAAGACCGGCCAAGTACATAGTGTGCCAAAGGCAGACAAGAGAACTTGTAGGCGTTCATGTGTCGTGAAAATTTTAATTTGTGTCTACCGCTTCAGATATAAAACTATAGAGTTATATATGAAGGATGGTACCCATTTCTCATTACATACCCTCATTGTACGACGTTTTTTTTCCCTGCCACAGTGTCAAAGCCACTTCAAAGTTTTTCACTAATGCCAGCTAACAGCAGCTATCCTTAACTACTGACCTCAGTATCGCTCAGTATGAGTTAGTGATGGGATTTCCGGCTCTTTTTAGAGATCCGGCTCTTTCGGCTCGGCTCACTAAAAAGAGCCGGCTCTTTCGGCTCCGAACCGGCTCTTCA